CGGTAGGCGTGGACAAGTTGGACCGAAGGGTCTGTTTCCATGCTTTACATCTGATTCTGCAACAAGTGTAATTTACATAGCTTATTTAATGTAATAAAACATCCTAAAGTGCTTCACAAGAATATTACATAAAGATTAACGCCAAACTATGAGAAGTTAATAGTGCAGAGATAATCAAAAACTTGTTTGAGGAAGGAGACTTTCAGAGCATCTTATAGGAGATGGAGAGGTTTAGGGAGATTAACCTGGAGCTTTGGTGCTTTAACAGCTGAAAACATGGCCATGAATAGTGGAGCAAATAAAATCAAATTATATACTGCACTGGAATAAAACTGAATTTACAACTTCAATTCTCTGCGAAAATCTGCATCCCAGGGACATGTTGTAACAAACTGCTCTCTACTTTGTGGATAGAAAGGAAGGGTGTGTTTAGTTCTAAGCAGGAGTAGAGAAGGACCGTAGAAAAGAACTCTGCCTTTCAATATGATTGTGGCTGATGTGATTTTAACTTCATCTCTACATTCCTGCATACTCCCAAAAATCTTTCATCCTCTTCGGTTATCAAGGATCTATCTATCTCTGCCTTAAAAGTATTTTGAAGATTCTACATTCCCTGCCCTTTGAGAAAGGCAGTTCCAAAGATCCACTCAGAATTTTGTTTTAACCTTGTCTCTGTTTTAAATTGATGACCTCTTAGTTAAAACTATGACCCCCTAATTCTCAGTTCTCCCATAAGAGAAAACCTCATTTCCACATCTATCTGGTCAAGTCCTGCCAGTTTTATGTTTCAGTTAAGTCCCCTCAGACTCTTCTGAACTCCAGAGGATACAGGCCTAGCCTGACAAGCCTTTCCTCAAAGGCAATCTGCTCCTTTCAGGTGTTAGTCGAGTAAACCTTGAACTTCTTCTTACAGCATATTAACACCCTTCCAAAAGTACAGTGACCAGTAAATACTAGACAGTACACCAGATATGGTCTTACTGTTGCCTGTTTAGTAGAAGGAAAATCTCCCTGCTCTTGAATTCAATTCCTCTGCAATAAGATATAACATTCTGTTAGCTTTCTTGATCACTTACTATACCTGCATACTAACTGATTCAAACGCTCAAACCCCCAGATCTATCTTCATCTCCAAGCTTTGCAACCCCTCACCGTTTAGATAATATGCTAGTATTTAGTCTCATCTGGCATGCATTGAATTCAAGCAGTGATTACGACATGTATTCATGTTGCGTCCTTAACATAAAACATTACAATGTGATGTTGTTATGCAAGACTATATAAAGACAAAGATATTGGATGAAAAGCCTACTTAAAGTAAAGTTTAAGACAAAAAGTTGTAGAAAGCCAGAAAGACTTGTATAGATTTGCATAGCTTAGGGCTGTGGCATCTGAAGCATAGAATTAAAACTGGACATGCTTAAGATCAGAATTCGATACGTGAAAGTAGCTTAAGGGCTGGGGAGCTGGAGGACATTAGAGTAAGGTGAGGGCAAGGCAGTGGAGATAGTTGAAATAATTATCAGATGTTTAAAATTGAAGAGTTGCCTGATTGGGAGTTCATGTAGGCCATTGAGCATGGAGGTGATGGATGATCAACTTGGCATGAGCCAGGTTTTGGATGGCATCAAGTTTATGGAAGAGAGAAAGTGGTTGGAAAAGTCAAGTCTAAAGCTAACAAAGATATGGATGTGAGCTGAGAAAGGGAAGACTGATCTTACAGGTGGAAGCATTAATGAGCAATATTGATGGCATGAATCCAGCCATGGTTAGAAACTCATTTTGTTATGACTCTAAGGTTAAAAGAATTTTGGTTTAGCCTTCGACTGTTGCATAATGGTGTTAATAGTTGAATGATATTTGTGGGTGAGTAATTGGAGGAAATTTCTGCACATTCAGTTTTCAATATTGGGTAATCGGTCTTGGCAAGAGTGGTGCCATCATGAGTAGAACTGGGTGTTATAGCATTAGTATTCACGTATATCATGTTTTTGGATAATGTCCCCTGGGACAATGTGTAACTTGATAATAGGATGCCAACAAGGTTTGCAGTTAAGGGGGAGGAGAAGAAGCAATGTATTTGATCATCTTGCTATGATTATAAAAGTATGATTAAGAATAGAACCAAACAAGTTCTGTTCTTCCAAGTTCTGGTACAAATACACTGAGGCCTTGGAGGAAGGTGTGGTCAACTGCATTAAAAAGTTCAAACTCGAGGGGCATGAGGAAGGCTGCAATAACTTCTTTGGAGTTAGAGAATAAGGTTTTGATACAATCACTTTTGGAACTAGGGCAGGGTAATGGACCTGTTTGAAAGGATTTGAACGTGGAGTTTGTCTCAATCATTCCTCAATGTGTTCAAGAACTTTGGTGAGAAAGAGAGTTGGAGATTTGTGAATGTGCAAGTTCTGTTCTGAAAGTGGTTGTTTAGATGTTGGGTGAGGTTCAGGAGAGTAATTTGTGGTTTCTCTATCTTGAGATTAAGGTGTATATGAAGAAGTGTTTTTATGGTACTAAAGAATGGATTTGCTATTGCTAAATGAAAACACTATTCTCTGCATCAGTTATTACATAATTTAGCCTAAAGCAGAACATTTATGTTTTGGTTACAGTTTGCAATTAATAGCTATTGATGTGTTAGTTACCATTTGTTAATTTCCACTCAGCGTTGTGAGGGAGGGCTCTATAATAGGAATATTTGATCTGACTGCTGCCTAGTCTGTAACAGACTATCCTGGGGAGAGTACAGTAGAAATAACCAAAGAAGAGAATAGAGAAAGGCATTGAGCATTACCCTGTTTTACTCTTCCTAATGTATCAGAAACGTTTCTGGATTAAAATCCTGAAACTCTTCCTCACAGAATTGGCCTACCTACATTACATGGACACCACTGGTTTAAAATGTGGCTGACCACCACCGTCTCAAGTACATCTGAGAGATGTGAACGTTATATGTAGCACCACTCAATGAATAATAAATGAATCAGTAATAGAACATTTTGCCTCTTTATAGTTTTGAGAATATTGTTGCAAAACTGGAAGAGTCTGCATTCAAATGCAAAATTAGGAAAATAACCAAATTTGATTACTGCAGTTTTTGTCACTTTTTGGAGTTTACAATTGCATGGCTAATCTTGCACACCAGTTTTATTCTTGTTTTCTCCTTTTGTAAAGACAATAACTTGTTTCTCGTATGACTCCATGTATAATGGCAGCTTATTCAATTGAAGTTATGTTTATGTTTAGAGCATGCTGATGGCATTACTTAGTGAAGAAAATGGAGAGATGCATTTTGCAATGTAATGTTTAAGCTAAATCCTTATCCTGTCAATACTTATGCAGGCATAATTTGAACAAGTGACAATTGAAAAGTGTTTAGAAATGAAAGCTTCCAGCTGCTATTTTCACACCCACCCTCCCCCCAGATCAAGTCCATGAATAACTATGGTCGATGTGTTGCAATCTCACCACTGAATCAGATGGTGATGGGTTCCAACTTTCTTCAAAACATTGAGCCTACAATCTGATTTAGTACTGGGAGCTGTGAACCACTACATGCAGAATACTTAACGAGTTACGACATTATTCCTGGGATTTTGCTGTGTGCAAATTGGCTGCAACATTTGTCAGTATAGTGACTACACTTCAAAATAATTAATTGAATGAAATGCTTTCTGACTTTGAGGAAATGTAAAGCATCATGTAATTGCAAGTTCACTCCTTCTGTAATAGTCACGTTGCTGTAGCTGAATTCAGCCAGTGCAGTTTCTAAAGTGAAACTTTGTCTTGCATATATCTGTCTTGTGCTCTGCATTTTTATAATGTGCTACCCAAGTGATTTCCTTTCTGGTTAAGGATCTTCAAGTGAATATCAACTGAATGAAAAATGTAAAATGTCTCAGTGACTTTGACTATCCTGTAGAAGGAAGATGTGTGATTGTGATCTCATTTGGTATTAGCTATTTAAGGGCTGTGGTAGAATTTTTGAATGGTGCTGTTTAACATTTGTAGAGAATATTGAGGTTAACACTTCAACTCACTCCTTTTGGTTTTCCTTGTGTTCCTGTACTATAGTAATTTAAAACATGAATATACTAATGAAACATCCTGTGGTGGATTTGACTGCCTGGTACTTGACTGAATATATAACAATGAATTGTTGATGCACATGCATAAAACAAAATCTTACAATTTAAGTGATAAACACTAAAAGCAAGAATGTTTCGCTTTGTGTAAGAGGGTTTGCATGCCTTGATGCTTAAATGAAGGCAGAGTGTATTATAATTGAATACAGTCACAGCACTATTAACATTGTTGCAGAATCTAGTAATTTTATACAGTGGATTCCAAACACATTTTGTTACTGTAAGTACATTGAAAAATATTGGAACTTCTCGTGAACTCTGTAGGTCTTCACCCCGGGTAGGGTCTGTAGTTGCTAGGATAATGTTTTGTTCTTTTTCTGCAGAATTTTTCTTGATCTACTTTTTCAACTTAAAGTCCTAATCCTGATCAGAAGCGCAATGATGTATTTGCACATGAATGTGAAAGTACATTTGAATTTGCGCTTCATTGACACTGGCTGTTCCAAGTACTGCTCTTTGGATGAGAACCTTAACAGTGTGAAATTGATCTATATCCTAGTGGCACTTTGTCTTTGATTTGAACTATTAGTTTACTTTGTTTATGTAACCACTACCATAGTTGTGAAAGATCTAGCACTGGGTTTTCATATATTAAACTAACTTAACTGTATTGTCTAAGCCATTAAGTGACATTAAATGTCTTTTTATACTGTGTCAATGGTGATGTTGAACAGCATGAGAAGTCCATTATTCACGAGAATTGGAGGATACAATAGCTCTGACATGAAATTGTGTTGAAGCAACTTGATTTTTGTTTTGTTTGTTAATATTGAAAAAAAAAATTGAAATAATTTCCAACAACTTTGCAAAGCAAATGTAGTCCCTGATCAATGTTTCATTTCTCTTGTTTCGTAGGAATTTTTTTACTAAGAAGACCAAGGAACCCATTCCTTCTGCTTTTAGTGCTCCTGGCTGGAAGCTATTTGGGAAAGTTCCACCAAGGGAAAATTCACAGAAAGATTCCAAAACAATACAGCAGGTATATTTTAAAAGAAAATTGTGTACCAAATTCATACTGTACCTGTTTAAATTGAAAATGGTGTTCTATTTGCTCTGTTAAGTGTTTGCTGGACTTTCAGTAATCAGGAGGTAATCTGGCTTCATTACAAGATCTGTTCTGCCACTGCTATGACAAATGTAATTGAAAAATATTGTTTGAGACTAACATCAAACATTTTAAAACTTCAGTAATTGCTGCGGGTTAAAAACAAAGCTGGAAAAGTTTTTAAATTGAAAATTTGATTTCTGCAGGAAAGTGCATTATTGATAGGGTAAATGGAAACAAACTGCAGAATTTGACATGCATCTGAAAAGATAATTGCTGAAGAAATGATAGAAATTGAATTCCATTAATTCCAATTACACTTTGTTTTGTAATCCCATGTTGCACTTGTCTGGTGGAGTTCTTTCACATTGCTGCAAACATTGGCTATCAGTCACCAAAGAAAGTGGTGTAAAATGTTACTGCTGATCTCCTTCACAACGATGATGGTTCTTGTGTTGAGTGCTTAATTCCAGTGCTGTGAGGAATACCGAAGTTGATTCTGGATCTTGTAGTTCGAAGATTAAGTGTTATATCCACATTTGTTTTTGTTTGCCAATAGCACAAAAAATTGGGATGGAGTTTCCACTTTGGATGCAGTCAATGATCTGGCTGCAAAGTTTGCCTGTATTGAGAAGATTTTTAATGTTTCCACTTGAACATGTTACAAAATGCGGTCAAACAAAAATCCCTTGATTATTTTTAATGGTAGTAACTTGATGCTTTGATTTATCCTGAAATCATGGCTGGTTTTGTATATAAGGCTGGCTTCTAACAAAATATTTTAAGTTTACTCAAAAGTTGCGGAAACTCACTTTTTCCTTTGAAGTTAATTTGTACCTAAAATCTGACAACCTTTTTCCCTGTTTAACTTCAGGAAAACTGCTATATCGACAGGAAAAAAAATACAGTTAAAACTACTCTGCAGTCAGTATCCTGAAATAATATTTCCTTTATCTGACTTCTGAAGAGATTTAATGAATTTTATTAAGGAAGGTTAGAATATTAGCATTTCTTTTTACTCATAATTGGGCATTGAGTGTTATTGGCAAAACAAACATTTTTGCATTCTGAATTACCCTTGAGGTGGTGATCCATGTGCAATGTAGGTGCACCCACAATGCTGTAAGGAAGTGAATGCCAGATTTTTGATCCAGTGATAGTGAGGGAGCAGTTTTGTAATTGCAAGGCAGGGTTATGTGTGGTTTGGAGATGAACTTGCAGTTAATGGTATTCCCATTGCCTGTTGCTCTTTTGGGTGCTGCAGGTTATGGGTTTGGAAGGTTCTATTGGCAGAGCTTCGAGACGTAGGCTTTGAGCGTGTTGAATGCTGTCCAACTTTACAAAACCTGCGTATAATCTTTTTGTGAGTAGAATGATAGAATAATGCAGGATTGCCAGTAAATATGGGTTTACTGTATGCAGCAGTTTAAATTCAGTGGTAACTTACAATCATATATGAATGAACATACTATATCAGGAATGGGTGTAGATCCTTTGAGTGTACCTTGTCAGCCAATTAGATCATGCTTGATCTGATTTTCGACATGCCCACGAGCTCCCTGATGACTATCATGCAATTGCTTGTCAGGAAACTATCTGCCTTAAAATTTCAAGGACTCGTTCTCAAAAAAAATCAGTAGAAACATGGTTCCAAAGACTTATGACACTGAGAGAAAGCACTATCCTTATGTTTAAAATGGGGAGCCTTTGTTTTGAAACAGTGACTGTTAATTGGTTCTCCCATAAAAGGAAAAATTTCCATGTGCTCTCTATCAAGACCCTTTAGGATCTTGATATGTCAATAAAGTCAACTCTTAGTCTTCTGTGCTCCAGAGGATATAAGGCTAGCCTGTCTAATCTTTCCATATAGCTTAACCCACTCATTCCAAGTATTGTCTAGCAAAACTCCTCTAACTAGTCCCAAATTTCTGACCCTTTGTTCATTTTTTCTGAATTTGAATATGTTGCTTATGTCTTGTTGTGACTTCTTTTTTTCTCACTATATAATGACCTTTGTGGTGCAATGGTAATGTCCTTACCTTTGTACCTGGAGGCGTGGGTTCATGTCCCAACTGCTCCAGCGGTTAGTGATTTTAAAAAACCTCTGAACAGATTGAAGTAAAGTCTATGATTTAACTACTTGGAAGTCCAAATTGTATATGAGCAGGAAAACAGTAGTCAATCTAGAGTTCAGGTGAGGGTGACTTAGTTATGGAATCTCATTTTAGTAATTTATCAAAATCTAAATTTTACATTTAAATGTTGCTGAATAGTTAAAATGGGTGATACAGATTTAATGTTTTAATGTTGATTTTTTTTTTCTCGACCGTTTGGAACGTAAAGTCTAAAGGAATCAATATTTGACTTAAAATCGATTTACTGAATTTTATTAAACAAGGTTAGAGTATTAGCATTCCTCTTTATACACAGTCACATCTTTGCAAGAATTTCCAATAAACTAATAGAGCAGTTGTTGGCTGGGTTAGATTTGCCCTTTTTGGCATTAATGGCCAAGCGACTTTCCAAACTCTCCAATAAATGATATCGTAGCCGTGTTGGAATGGTCCATCTCTGCTGCCTTGAGATCCACAACATCGCTGAGGCGTGTTAACCAATTCAAGCCACTCCATGAGGAACATGGTGATGCAGGGGTAATGTCATTTGTCTAATAGTCCAAAGATGCAGTTCATATTCTGGGAACAGTAGTTGAAATCTGGAACAGCTTGTGTCGAGGTGTGGTTAGTTCTGGAGTATTAAAACTTAAGGTAAGGCACAAATGAGGAGTGTGATAGAATAATTTCCATTTTCCTGGACACATACAGTTCTAACATACTCAAGAAGCTTGACATCATCCAGGGCAAAGGAGCATATTTGATTAGCACCATTTCTACAAACATTGGCTTCCTGCACCACTAATGCTTAGTCGCAGCAGTGTGTATCATTCATAAATTCTGGTTTGCCAAGGCTCCTTAGCGCCTTTTGAAGCGCATGACCACTCCCATCCAGAAGAACAATGCCAACAGATACATGAGAGCACCACCACCTGCAAGTTCTTTTCCAAGTTGCTCACCATCCTGAATTGAAAATATATTACCGTTTCTTTAGTGTCATAGGGTTAAAGTCATGGAACTGTGTCTCTAGTGGTATTGTTGCTTATTTATACCAAATGGACTGCAGCAGTTCAAGAAGCTATCTTGCCACTGCCTCAGGGTATCTGGGGATGGGCAATAAATTACATAGAAGTCACTGAGTCAAATACACAGAAATTACACAAAATATTGAATGTTATCAAAGAATACCTAAAGGTATACCTTGCACACAAACAACCTATTAATATGCTGCCTCCATTCCTCCTCTTCAAAGAGTTAGTGGATGTAGCGATAGTTGGGAAAAATTTACAGTAGCAAGTAAAAACGATCAGCTTGTTTTTCAAATTTCACTGACCTTGACTGTAAATAGTGGGAAGGGGTTCTGATGGGAAAACCATTCTGAAGTGACTTTTCTATGCTGTATTAGTAATTAGCTATGATTCATTTCTGAATTCCCTTTGGTGTTATAGTATATCTTGAAATTCAATAAAGGAACCATGGAAGAAACCACAATGTAATTGATTGCAGATTTAGATTACAGCAGTATTGATAGAATTGCTCAGGAACCAGGGCCCACATAGGTTTGTATTCATTTTACGTACAGCTACCTCCTTTGCCAAACACTAAAAACACTGCTACTATGTTGCATAAACTTCGACCTTTTTGACCTTTAGTTGCAAATCTCAAGATACTATCTGAACATGAATTTTAATGTCAACAAAACATTCTCAACTCTTAACAATTGTTATTCAGTGAAGGCAATATACAGATTTCCGGTTTCCTCCCACAATCCAAAGATGTACAAGTTAGGTGGATTGGCCATGCTAGATTACCAATAATGTCCAGAGATGTGTGGTTTAGGTGCGTTAGCCATGGGAAATGTAGGGTTACAGGGATGGTTCTGGGTGGGGTGCTCTTCGGAGAGTTGGGTGGACTCATTAGGCCGAATGGCCTGTTTCCACACTGTAAAGATCCTGTCCTATAAATTTTAGATTTTGTCTCTTTCAATTCCCACCAATAGCTGGTGCTGCCCACTTCTCATGGCTCCATCATTAATGCCAGTTTAAGAAAGCACCAGCTGACCACCAAGCTTAAAATTCTACAGTTGCCTTGACTATTACATATACAGCAATTGTATATGTAACTATGTATATGAAAACACTTAATTGTCCTATAGTTAGACATGCCGAAACTATATGCATGCCTCATTCCATAACACATTTAGGGCTGCGTTTGACGAAAAACTGGAGGAATCTTTTATTCATTTTTGGGATGTAGCCAGTATTTATTGCCTGTCCCTAGTTGCCCTTGAGAAGGTGGTGGTGAGCTGCTGCCTTGAACCGCTGCAGTCCACCTGCTGATGGTTGACCCACAATTCCATTACGGAGGGAATTCAGGATTTTGACCTAGTGACAGTGAAGAATGGTGATATATTTCCGAGTCAGGATGGTGAGTGACTTGGAGGGGAACTTAAAGATAGTAGTGTTCCCATATATCTGCTGCCCTTTTCGTTCAAGATGGGAGTGGTCGTGGGTTTGGAAGGTGCTGTCTGAGAATCTTTGGTGAATTTGTTTTCTGAGTTCAGCTTTTGTGAACTTGTTACACTTCATAGCACTGACAAGTTTGTTTTTAATTTGGCAATGCTTCTCACCTGCAATCTAAATATCTTTATCTTTTCTTTTTTCTGTTGTTATACAAGCACAATGCTCATTTGACCTTTAAATCAGACCTCTGGACCAACTTTTCAATGTAAAACCAGTTATTTTGCAAATGCTTGAAAATATAAACTTTGGGACTCGTTGTTCCCAAATTCCACTTGCAATTCTTTAGTTGGGTTTCTTTTTG